TTCCAGTGATAACCTTGGAAATCCAATGCGTGTGGTTACTTTGAGATTTGCATGCGTGCACGCATTAATCTAGGCTCGAGAATCCGAGTTAAATTGTGAAATTAATGCATTCATGATGCTGCACATTTAATAATATCACATTTTATTATGCTAATGCTAGCAGAATAACAAATGTAAAAAACACATTTTGCCTACTTTTATAAAAGGGCTCATTATTTTATTTTCATTACAGATTGGTTTTTTTCTTATATTAGAAGAAATCACATTACATGCCTCAGTTGTTCGCCTTTGGAAGTGAATGATAAAAAAAATCACTGCTGATATGTGTGGCATTCTGCCGTCCTAATTAAGACTCCATCAGCTGATATGTCAAACAAGTCCCATTGTCTAATTTTTCAGCGTCATTTAAATTTCTTGGCATTTTTGCCATTTCACGCCGAAAGCTGTTGCAACAGCCAGGGATAAAATGGGGGCAGTGCACTACAAAAGGAGGCACAGGAATGCCATCACAATCTCACTGTGCAGTCCATCGTGGTTCGTGCAATGAGTGAACATGCCGAGGTGGGGGTGGGGGGAAACGATGTGAAGATAAGATTTATTGCTTTCAGAATTCGTGTGATTTGTGAAAATTCTTTAAAATTGCCCTCCAAAGTGTGGAGCCCTGGTGAGACAATAGTGCTGCTTGTCTTTAGCCAGCCGACTGCTCTGAGTTTGTGCTTGCCTCGAATGTCACATTGGTCAGATTGAGTGATCTGTAAGGATTTGTTTTCTTAGTGTAAATTCTTTTTTTTCATCATAAAACCTCATCGTCCGAAATTGTTGGGCAATTATTAGTCTAGTGCTTCACTTATTAACCTCCAGCCTATAACTCGCACCCATTAATTAAGTATCCAGCAGTTTCACGTTAAACTGGTTGAAATGCTTCAAGGCATTTGGGCTGGCTCGTTCGTGCCTGTCCTGAGCTTCTCACGAGCCTCTGAGCGTTATTCATCGTTTTGTTTACGACAACTGTGACTAATGTGTGCCTACAAAGAGACGGTGGGGGGGGGGGGGGGGGTTACACGCACCCTACAGTTGAAGCTCGCCCGTTATGAATCCTCAGGGGCTTGTAGAGGGTGTTGCCTTCATTAGCAAGAGAGATGTTTTGTGAAGATGCACCAATAACGTTGCACTCCCAGCCGTGGCTGTGAATCATTTCCCCTGTTGGCTGTTTCACCGTAACGCACCGTTGAGTTTGGTCTCTTTAGGTAATGAAAATCTAACGCGCACGGGAACTGGCAGGTCCTTTTTGTGCATTTAATTACACCTTCAGGCTTCATTAATTTACTTGTAGAATGAAACGCCAGTGAAGAATGGCTCAGGGTAATTCGTTTTTTTTTAAATGTATCAAAATGGAAAATAATAGAACTACAGCACAACATTTTAATTCTCATACAAATAATGCAAATTTTAAGACTTTTTTTAAATACCACATTTGATTTGCATTGTTGATTTTGTTTGAATTTACTCTGTAGGTAAACTGGGGGAATGCATGCTGGTGTCAATTTAGTTACATCGCTTTTTCAAACATCTTTCAAACCTGCCTTGTGGTCGAGGGTTCATTGTTTTTAATTATTTAAATAGTTGGACATTTAATGTTTACGTTGCGGCAGCGTTAGCAAACACGAACAAAAAACAAAACAATTTAAATATTGACTTCAAGCTTTCGTGACTGCAGAAATGAAAATTCTTTGCTTCTTTCGGTAAAGTCACGTAGATAGGTTCAAAGAAAAAAATAATGTTTATTATTTGTTTGTTATTTTCTTTGAACCTATCTACGTGACTTTACCGAAAGACCAAGGAATACAAAGCAATTTGTTGTATTCTCATTCACATCTTAGGTCAACCTTGCCCTCCATAAATCAAAGCTTAAATTATTGCTCCGGGTTTAATTCTGTTAAGTGAATAGCCAAAGACATATGGCTACCTGCGAGACAGATAACTTGAAAGCATTTTGGCCACGCAAATCCAATTTTGTCCGGGGCCAGTTTAGCTCTCCTGGCTCCTGAGCTGAAATCCGCTTGCCTTGCCTTCCTCCCTCAGCGAAGCCCTCCGCTCTGCATTAAAATCCCTGGGCTAACGCCGCTGCCTGCCGCGGGCAAAGTGGAGATACCGGCATCAATTGTAATGCCTGAATCATTTAAATCCTCAGGTTGATTGGCACCGTTGGAAGCAATTGATAGGATGTCTACCCAGTTGGGAAGGGGGGAAACTTTGAGGGGAAATGTTTCATCGCAGTCCTCGTAGCCTCAATGAGAAACAGACGTCACAAGTAACTAAACATATTTAACTCTATTTGGGTAATTGTTATGCTTCCAAGAAGCTTGTGTTTCATTAGCTGTATCTTGGAGATTATTGATCAAATTTGCAGTAAAAACGACTTGGAATTATGTGCCTCCAACTCAGAACATCAAGTTCTACTTTATTAATAATCAGCTCATGTGGTAGTGGTAAATGCAGTTTAGTGAGATCATTAAATATTCCACAGGTTTAGTCTTTATCTAAGGATAAACAATAGAATAACACTTTCATTTATATAGCATTTAAATGCTACTCCATCGCAAGATGCTGTACCAAAAACACGTATCTGTAACAGTATAGTTTGGAATGTTCGGGACAAACTATATTATAATATTTCTTCAAACCATTTCCCCCAAAATTGTAAAGTTATTTGTTACAGAACGCTTGTTGAAATGCTGTAAGATGATGGCTGTTGTTTAGAATTAATATGTTAATATTGGATATTTCCAAATGCTTCACAGCTCAGAGCGTTTTCATAAATTATTCTATTGGCAGTGATGTATACAAAAATTAAATTGCATGTCAATCACACTGTATAACCTGACGTGCCTAATTGACAGTTATTTGGTCTCATATGAGTTTATGCATTTGTATTGGTTTACAATAATCTAAAAATTCGATCTTTTAAATTAACATTCGCAATTATAAAAAATATATCTGGACAAATAAAATAAAAATCAAATCGTGACAAAAAAAACAGTCTTTATTTTATTCAACTTATTAGAAGGAAATCAAAAATAAAACAAACATCTACAATTCGTAAACAGCAAATACAGTTTATCAAATATATATATGAAACTTATTGGACAAAATAAGTCAGACAAATTAAATATGAGACATATAAAATTAGTTTTTGTTATACACTATATAAGTACATATAAACACCATGTGTGCGTTTAGCTAACAAACCCAAAAGATGTTAAATTACAAGCTGGATAATACATGGTGCGTACACAGGAGGAAGATGGGCATGGCAATCATCATGGTAGCCTAATACATCTCAGCGTTTATAGATGATTTGACACATTCTCAATTGAGTACCGTACAGCACGATATAGGTCATCGCTATGCTCCGGTGCAAATCGCCACGTTATTTTGATGAGCCTCTTAATTGCTGTTTGCCAATTCTAATTAAGAATTTGCGTAGTATTTTTGACATAACATCAACTTTTTTTTAAATTCCTGTCCCTGTTTAAAATGTTACGTGCAAAGGTTTACGCAGGGAAAAAAAACGGATAATTGGGCACACAACTGCGTGGCCATTGCAATGATACTGAGTCAACATATTTTGTTCAGGGTATTATACACAAATGGCCAAATTAGACATATATACACTGTCTACACTTAGCGCAAACCCATAGCCTCCCATATGCATTCACCACAACATTAAATGACTGATGCGCTATGTAGTCCACACAACCTGATATTCGTATTGGTCTCTATACATCATTGCATTGGTCATGAATTGACAAACACACAACTTAAAAAAACTTTTGTAACTAAGATGCAAATGATAACCATATGCTAATGATCCGTGTAAACTGTTGAGCGAAGGTAAATTCATTGTACCAGCTTGCGATATCACAAACGTCGGTTGCAATGAAAATCTTGATAACCTGCATGCTATGTTATTGGATAAGGCACTCTGACATTTAATACATATATTACTGAGATAATGTCTTTAAATTATTGTATATCCATTCACTTTAGGTCTGGTGTGTATTTGTGAACAATGTCTCATCAGGCGTTATCTTTATGTGTTTGTATGACTTTTGTTAATATATATACGAAGACGAAGTTTAAATATATACAATTGTCATAATCCTAAAGATTGGTACATTGTAACTTTTCTAACACTTAAAAATGTAGTACTGTACATTATTTTAGAAAAAAATATTTATATTAATTTCAGCACCCTGGTCAGCAACACTATGTAAAAGCCTCCTCCTGCTATTCAATGTAAATTAGCTAATACATTGTATTAATATCACACTATTGTTATCACACAATATAGCATGTATATTTCACAAAAATATGAATTATTAGACATGCACTCAAGATAAGCTGATGTTTTAAGAGCCTAGAGTAGAGTACATGCATTTATGTGTAAACATTTGACAGGTGTATATTGTTACTTTAGTTTGGGTGTTTTTTCAAATATTGTAATTTGTGGGATGCAACATGTTGTAAGATATGGTAGACTGTATGAACTTTTTTTTACTTTAGTATTTTTAAAAATGTAGATCTATACTATTACAGTTTAAAAGTAATGAGACTTGTTTAAAATACCTACAATAATACACACAAAACAATATTCCTCCAGAAAACCGACATCTATTACACCACCTCTCGTGACATAAATGACATCTCTCCCACAAGCCCAGAGCTGCGTTGTCCCTTCGAGACTTTCAATACTGCAAAAGCAACACATTTTTCTCCACATTTCCTCAGAAAAGTTCCTTTAGCGTGGGGGGCAAACAGGAAAATAAAACCGCACTCGTTGAATTTGTTGAGCCAACACTGTCGGGACAGCCACACGATTCGACTTGCTCTGGTTTCTACGGAGACCAATTATGTATCGCACTACTCTGCACAAGGCGTGTCTCGGGCACCCGCGCCCTTGCCAAAACATGCGTGCATAAATGTCTGAAAATTGGTACCTTTCATGTTGAATTTGGAACGTCCGTACTTGTTGATAAGGACGATCATTCCAGCGAGTACGATGCAGGCAAATGCCGCAATGCTCACTGCCAAGTACACCTGCGTTGACAAATGCATAGTTCTTGATTCAATACAAGTTACGAGTACGGTACTGTACCACAGCATTAGTCAATTCGGATCAAGTTTAAGCTAAGGTGTCTCCCCTACACGGCAAAATAAATTAAGTGGGCACTTATAAAGTTAATCTGATGTCAGCGATGTAAATTGTTCCTTCCCATGGAAGGGGACCAGTCTTCTTCACATTGAGGCTGCTTTTGACGTCCTGCACAGCAGTACCAATGTTATTGACCTCATGGGCATGAGAGGTTGAGTCAGTCACTCATCGGTAATTAATTGGCAAGCTTTCAGCTGGCAAAGCTTGGAGAGTCGATTGAGTTTAATCAGCGGCACCACCTAGCCATATCGTAGTTACAGCTGAAAACCCGCCAAAAAATGTAACTGCAATATTTTGGTGGGGAAGATAATTGCAATGCATATTTTTGATATATTTTTTAAAAACAGTTTCGCAATTTCATTCTTTTAAAAATAACTAATTTCCTTCATACCTTTTTTTCAACAATTGTTATGATTGCTGTAATCATAATAAAAAAAAGCCTCAATCTATATTATTACAAATGACACCCACTTAAAACGAGAACATTTACCAGTCTACTGAATGACAATGTTGCAATTACAAACTGTTTACATGTTTCTCCTGTTTTGTTTTGGTTAAAGAGCCCAGCCAATGAATGCATATCAAGCATCCCGAGTGGATGAATGTCACGCAGTCAATTTATAGGAAGTGATCCTGTCCACACTGCATGTCAGATGTTGAGTGCCAGACTTGTAGATTAATTTGATGCTTGGTTTTCAAAACATTGCGCAAGGCAGTAAGACCACATTTGTATTTCATCATGCAAAGGTGCACGCCGTATACATTCTTCAGAAGTGATATAATATGAACAAGTTATCTTCCAATTTCGTGCAATTTTACAATGAAAACATTTATTGTTCCAAACATGCAATGGAGACATCAGCTTGTATTTGCAAACATTGGTCGAACAGTATCATTTAGCAACACTGTAGAGCGGACCTTATCTTAAAATGCGATAAAGTCATAATTGCTGTCGTGATCACCATCTTAATCGTTACAGTCGAAGGGTTAGCACAACGCTTCACTTATCACTATTTAGCATTTTCATCGAGATGAAATCTGGAGAAAATGTGCATTTTAAGCACAATTATGTTTAAAAACAAGTTTTAATTGTGCCTTTCTTTCTCCAGCCGCCACCAAAAGAGCCTGACGGTGCTGTTCATGCGTGCGCTGCGCGGTGCGTGCCAGCGTTAATTAAAACTGCTCAGCTGGCCACATGGCCTCATGTTATCGGTCTCGTGCAGACACTGCCCCGTGATCAAACCCCCCCCCCCATACCCCCCTGCCAGCGATTCTCTTTTTTATTGCAACCAAAAACCCCGACAGCGTTGTCGACTCTGCACGCCTTGAGGGGAAGCTGAATTATTCACAGAATCCAAAGGGGCCGTGGTGCTAAGCAGTGGTAACTCACTGACCCCGTATGCCTCGCCCTCTGGCTCCTCCCGTGTCGCGTTCGGTGAGATTGGCCCGTCTGTGAAATTCATAATAAAAATAAAGAGTGCACGGTGTCACAAAGTCACAAGGCTCCAGCATAACATGTATATTTTAGTTCTCTTTACCCTTCTGTCTAAAAAGGGCTTGCGTTAAATTGTGTAGAAGATTCACTTGAGGTTTGGTCACTGTGTAAGCACTTTTGTTACATCTTTTGTGAAGTATAGTTTTATTTGTGAATAAGGATCTTACAACGCTTTCATTTTTAATACGTGAGGGGATGGTTTTAAGGTTATCAAGGTCCTCAGTCGGGGCCCCAAGCAACTGCACACACGAAATATATTTTTTATAGTTGCTGCTTCAGTAACTCTCATAAATAAATAAAAAGCTTGTAAATGAATTGCCTATTTGGTTAATCCGTAGCTGTGCATCAATCTGGGACCCCCTTCAGCCACACGGCTCCCTGCAGCTTAAACGTTTAGTTGATGGATGAGATTGCCATTATGAATGTGTAAAAAAATCACTAAGTTACAAAAAATATATTAAGCATTACCGCTTTTGATGACGACTTCTTCCGAAAGGAAACCTATAAATTGAAAATGCAAATAATTAGATTCAGTTTTCTACATGTCGCTGATGCTGTAAATTAATACGTTTATGTGCATGTGCATGCCTGTGTTAGCATATGGTTATCTTGTCCTGTCCCTAAGACATATACAATTATAGGTAAGCATTTAAAAATATATATCTGTAATACCCTAAAATTTTGTGTAGATCAAATGAAATTAAATACCTTAACCGACATTAAAATATGCAGGATTGGTGCTTGCCATAACTCTGGCTTATATTTTGCTATCTTATTCTAAAAATAATTGACAAGCTATCATATATATGAGACGCAATGTTTAAATAATCCTTGAATTTGGTAGAAATGAGATGGTGTCTAAACAAGAGATGTTTCGCAGGTGTGCCTATTGATAGTCTCCACGTGTTTCTAATGCAAAAGGCGGTATGGTGGCCAATAATGCATGAAAACCAGTGTTGATTTCCCAGTGGTTGATTGCTCAATTGATGGAATCTCAACATTAATCCCATGGGAACAGTGTGAGGTTTAATTGAATGTGTGGCACTGCACAAGATACATTTGTTGTAATAGGAAGAAAAAAAATCACGTGTATATATATAGAACGCTATCTTTGACAATTATATTCCAAGTGTGCTGTCTGCAAGTTTTAAATTGAAAACTCCATTTGGAACTCGCACAGAGAGATTTGGGCACCATACTGTGTTACATTAGGTCTCTTTTGAAGTGAGCTGTATAGGTCTCATTATCCACAACAGGAATAATTATTTTACATGTCCTGAAAACACTGTTGGTCGTACGTTTAATGATCAGAGCTGGAACAAACCAAGTTTAGTAAAAAATAAAAATGTCTGATAGTGGCTATTTGTAGCTTCATACAGGTTACTGGGCTGCGACCATCACTGTGTAACACAGAAAAACTCAGTTTAATGACAGGGACCTCAGATTTTGCATTAGCCTCTGGAGCTACCCACCCACCTCAGGATATGCACACTTTGCATGCGAATACACTTTTGGAAACTAAAGTCCCGTCGTATCTCACACTCTGCATTGCGTTGATATAATATAATCTATACATAGGTTTTTGAGTGGACATTTTCCCAAGGTTTTTCATAAAAAAAATCTGATAAAGTGGCATGAAAGTGCTAACATTTACACTGAAACCCAGCAGTGGAAAGTAACGTCCACAATTAACACTGAAATTCAATAAGAAATATAATATAATTTGCAGTGTGATTTAGGTTATTTTTTTAAAAATTCTTGCTCGAATTCCAAACGAGGCATTTTTAGCACTGTAATTTTAGACGTGTCTCAACGTGTTACAAATGAACAACTACACTGGGGTTGATAAATTGCACGGTCTTAAAAAATATATATACATGGCAAATATTAAATTTTGATTTAAAGCTTTCGTGACTGCAGTAATTCATATTCTTAGTTCTTTCGGTAAAGTCACGTTGAAGGGAAACAACATAATAATAAAATATATATAAAACAATAACAATTCTCACGACGTTTCGACACAAATGGTCGAAACGTCGTGAGAATTGTTATTGTTAACAATTCTCACGACGTTTCGACACAAATGGTCGAAACGTCGTGAGAATTGTTATTGTTTTATATATATTTTATTATTATGTTGTTTCCCTTCAACGTGACTTTACCGAAAGAACTAAGCATATGGCAAATATTAATGAGATATCAAAAGTTGGGAACTTTCTCATTTATTTATAAATATATATGAAAAGAAAAGAAGTCACGTACAGGAGAGTTAATTATGGAAAGCTCGTGCCATAGTGACATTCATGCGGGACGTTTCCAGCCAATTGCCCATGCGCGTGCCACACCCTGCAGTGTGGCACGATTAACGCATTTATCTCACCAGCATTAACTGCCAATAGGTTATTTCTATACGGATGTCTGCTCACCGCGCCACGTGGGGCACGGCAACAGCTGCCCTGTTCACAAATAGACGGAGATGGGGACTTTTTTTTTGCATGGTCTTCGAGCTCGCTTTTTTTTTGGGGAAGGGGGGCGGGGCTCGGGGACCGTCGTGATGAATGTCGTGACCATGACAACATAGCCCAAGTGTGGCTCTGTGGAGCGCACGGGCAGAATAGTAAATCGGGCTGCTTGGAGTACGGGTGGCAGGAGGCCCGGCGAGGTGTTTGAGGGCAGCGTGCACAGCGCAGGCTTCCCTCCAGAGCGATTTGTGTAGCACAAGTGACTAGGTGTGCGCGTGTCGACGTGACCGCTTGTGTTTTACCCCCCTTGAGTTTTGCCCATCAACAAATATGCTAACCGCTCACAAATGCATTGTTGGTGTGCAGTAAATTACTATCAAAACAGTAATTGTGCCTAACATAAAGCTTGGCAATACGCTGCCAAGGAACACTTAAGATAATTTACTATTTATTGGCACTACACTAAATAAGGCCCCGTAGATACATAAACAGCCTCGGGGTGATATTAAATAGGATCTGACACTTATTATCACCTTGTGAATATAAATATAACTCGAGCATAAGATTTAGTGGACACAGCGAGAGATTCAATTATACCCAACATCTGACACCCATATTTTTCGCATGACATTGAGTGCAGTTTCTGGTTTGTACCAATGCGTTGCGTAACAGTGCTGCCATCAGATCTGTTACTCAAACAAACCTAGACACTAAACAATTCATGAAATTTCTATTTTTTATTTGAAATATGCAAATTTGAATATCAACGACTTTGAAATAAAATAGCCTAATATTTTTTATGTAAATGTAAAGCGGTACCCTTGAAAATCATAATATGCCTCCTCACTGAAATTATTTTCTATAGAGTTACAGATAATTTTCCCCATTTGGGATTTGAGGATTGACACCGTGCACACAATTGTCCACTCTTGAACAATATCCTTTTGAAAATTATACCACAGATTACTATTAAACAGCCAACGGCCAGTTTTGTCTAATCTGCTGCAGAAATTACTTAACTGCTTGAAATGAACTCCGACTTTCATGCACACTGCCTTGGGTGACGAAGTCGCTGACCACCAGCTTGTGTTCGCATCGAGCTGAATACAATCAATGCGTTTGATCGCAAGTGTGAATTATCATCATCACCATTCGATCGCCATCGGCGCTGGCAGTCAATGCGCATCGCATCTCACCCAGCTTTCCCTTTTCGACCAAACGCTCCTCGGGTATGCCGCTATCCCCGTGCGCCTCGAATGCTCCCACGATTTGCCCGTTAATCCTCCGCTCATGTCGCGTGGCCTCACCGGAGCTGTTCATGAAGTGGCAGTAGACGGTGCGCGACACAGTGCCCAGGCTGTTGCTCGCAACCAGGGTGTAGTTTCCGTTATTGTGATGGGTGGCCAAGTCCATATCCAAGCAGCCCTCTAGGCCGTCTTGCCCCAGCGGGTGCACGATCAGCGAGACGAAGCGACTCTCGTTGAGGTCCACGCCCTTGTACAGCCAGCTGAGCGTGGGCAGCGGGTTCCCGCGCACCATAAACGGGATGCACCACACGTGGTACTTCTCTGCCTTGTTCAGGTAGATGATCTTCGGAATGTCTGCGGCAGTTGCGGGGTGAGAATGCGAGACGGCGCGGTTGCCCAGTGAGAACGTACACCGTGCGGCGGCGCGTTTCTTTAACAGTCACGTGACAAACGGGCAGGTGGCACATGGTCACGTGTCAATCTGGAGATAATGCACCGGTGTTGGGATGCTCGGCCTTCATGGATTTACCAAAACTCAATTGTCTGTCATTTGGAAATCACTGAGCAATGCATTCATTGTCCGGTATAGCGTTCATTTGTTTAGCCCCTTGAGATTGATTGCTAGCCTTGGCTAACATCAGTAGCGAGTTATATCTGAATTGCTCCTGAGCATCTCTCCTTTAACTTAAACATATCCACCAAAATGGTGAAGTATGGTCAAACAGCCCCCATGACCATTGCAGTATGGGGGAGGCCTTCGTCCAATAGGGGATTAGCCAAAGTGCTGTCAATTTATTTTTTTCAATCAAGTGCAATCTGACAATTGCACATTGCCTTCGACCATACAGCTTGTGATCATCTGCTGCTGCAGCAGCAATGGAGCTGTTCGTGTGTAATTTGAAGAGTGTGCAGGAATTCCAAACTTAGTTTCACTAAAATTCCAAAAAAATTGCTCAAATTTGGCAGTGGTGTGAAGGAAATGGCCACAAGCTAAAGAATTGTTGGCAGAATAAAAAGGAAACTGTCATAAGACACTTTATTGTCCTGAGAGTGAGTGACGTTTGGTTAAAGGGAGGCATTGCTTCTCAAAATGGCACGGCTCTCTGCTTATTGTCCAAGTAGGTTTGGGCACAGACATTATTTTATTGTGTTTCTTTCGTGATAAAGACCATCATTCATTCCTAAGTTTGCTTCCTCAGCATATATACAAATTTCGCCAGTCGAATATAATAATATATTCCACAATATATTAAAATAAAAAGTACACCACATATACAGTAACAATGACAAGTGCATTGATATGTTCATATAACTTGGATTCAAATTAGAATGTTAAAATCATGAATTTTACTTAAAAAAAAACAGAATGAATTACTTTCTGTGTAACTCTAAGACGACTCATTACCCTTAAAAACTAAATCGTAAAAAACTTTGAGGTTTGTCGGTTCATATAGTTGGAAATGTGAATTAGTGGTTAATTTGGTTAATTTAAATTAACCACAAGTTGTCTTTAAGAATATTCACGGCAGAGTAGGTATATATGTTCTCTTGGAGGGTAAGGCACCATGTTTAGATAAATCACAGATAAATTGGGCAGAGGAAATAGTGTAAAAAAGTTGCTGACATCAATAATGCATAGGGCTTGCACTACATAGCAGTACATGTGTGTACGTATGTTGAACTTCTATTGCGCCGTATGTAGCCAACTGTGATAATCGGAGGTGATTGACATTACATTTTTGGTTCACCACATTTTTGAAATTTCTTTCAAAGCTATTTTCAAATGTGCAGTAAATACATCAAAAGGACATAAAAAAACCTTTCCAGTTTATTGATGCCTTATTTACAGTCGGTAATGGAGTGTGTTCCATACAAATTATTGGTTTATAATAAATGCCCTTTAATGACATGAGGCCAGGGCCATGCCACTCCCGTTGCTCTAAAATGACAGTGGAATTGCAATATGTGCATTGCAGCTGCGTGCTCTCCTGCGCCATTAGGCTTTGAGACATTATGAATGCAAGCCGTGTGGAGGGACATTGCATGCACTCATAATTCATTGCAAGATCCTATTTTCATGTAGACACATTACGACGCACTTGCCAGCAACAGTACAGAATAAGCTAAGGGAATGCTGGACGAGTGGAAAAGCTCAGCGGCAGGGTAGAAAAAAAACCCTCCCCAAAAAAAAATATCCTTAAAAGCGACGAAATTGCTTCACCCAAAACGAGAGAGCACGATTGCATTACTGCTATGTACGTATGGGCCGCTGTTTGATTATTATTATTCATTCTGAAGAGGAACACATTAGCTGAAATTAATAAAGGGGCCTCACAAGTCATATCTAGTAAGCGGCGTTAAGACTACGGGCATAAGATTGCACGATTGCACAAGGATTGGACACCAGAGATGCATGTTCAGAAAGGAAAAAAAACCCAACAATCGTTCTTCAAAGGTCTAACGGATTCAGGGCAAGGCACACTTACATTGGACGGTGATTTGCACCGAGACGTTGGCCATTCCCACCGCATTCTCGGCTGCACAGGTGATGTTTTTGTTGTTGTCCTCGTACGAGATGTTAAATATTCGCAAGGACACCGCCGAGCCCAGTTTACTCTCCTTCTGGGATATGAAACCGCCAGAGCACTGGTGTTAGCGCACAGTTTGTGAGTGCAACACATGGCACGTACACCGTAAATATACTCACGCAAGATTATACCGCACTTATAATGTGTAATACAATAAGTATATAGCACATGTATCATTCATCGGTATGAACGCGCACTGTTGTTTAGGATGGTGTTCAACTGGCAAAGGTGATAATTGTGTCGACTCACTAATGCATGGGCAAAACATTTGATTGTTAGATTGATTGAAACAGCCACTGCACGTTAAAAAGCAATTCACTTCAATTCCAATTGGCTTAAAGGAAGTCAAGAACACAAGTGGATTGTCATCTTGGAAGAACTTGGTTATGGCACTCATGTCCTGGGCACACCAATCGGCTCCCTCCCCCTCTCTCTCCACCATGGTCGCGATCGCAGCAAGGCGAGCCAAGTGCGTGCTACTAAGCGGCACAGAGAAGCTACGGGCTACTTTCGGCTTCCCATTTTAAGAGCCAAACAATGGACAATAACATTCCCGATGCATTAACGGCGAATTAGTGAGGCTATCAAAATAATGTAATTCATCCATTCGCCAATAGACGTCTCCCGTAAGCAATGACAACCGACAAAGTTGTCCTATTTAAATATTGTCCATGCTCTCCAGGTCATGTCGTGCCCTCTGACTATTGTTGGTGCATTGCTCACCCTTGTACAATTTTTGGGTTTTCAAGTGAAAAGCAAAACAACAAACAACAATCAACAGGAGCGTGATTATTTTGGTCAGGCGCACAGTGAACTGTGTCACTGTGAATACAGCATCATGGTAAACACGATCATTGTGAATTGATTGGATGGCTGGGGGTGCAGGGGACAGCCTGGAGGCCCATGCGATGGAGGGGAGATGGAAGTAGCCCCATAGCGTCCGTGGGAGCTTAGAGGGCCCCTCCCCCTGTTGAAGGCTCAGCCCCCACCTTTGAAATTATTAGAGCGAAGTCATTTCATATGCAAACGGTCTGCAGTAGTTGTAAGGGGCTGTACAAAATGAAAAATAAAAAGTACAATTCAGCAACTGAGAGTTAAAAGCAGAATGCAGAATAGGCAAAAAAACATATCGTATCGTTACTCATTCTGTTCAGCTTTTAACATTTGTTAAACGTTTGTTTAACAGTGACTGTGTTGATGCCCCCTGCGAGCTTTTGTATGCTCCCAATATTTTTTACTTTCTGCTTTTGCCAACACCGCAGGACTCAGTCGGCAAAAGCATGCGAAAAACAGCTGTGTACCCCAGCCACATACCCCAACCAGGAACCCCAGCCGAGAACCCCAGCCGAGAACCCCAGCCGTGAACCCCAGCCGAGAACCCCAGCCGAGAACCCCAGCCGTGAACCCCAGCCGAGAACCCCAGCCGAGAACCCCAGCCGTGAACCAGACCACGAGCGAGAAAACTAAGGTGGGGGGGGGGTGGGGTGGCCGTGGAGGCGGGGGGGGGTCCGACTGAATTCACACAATGGGGGAAAGGATCAGATAAAATGCGAATCAAGAAACGGGGTACCAGCATAGGCGGAGTTTGACTTCTATATTTGGGGGGGGGGGGGGGGGCAGGGGTTTGCTTTCTCCCTCGAATTAAGAATACGCATCATTTTTATTTTCATTGTAAACTATTGAAAACAAATTAATAAAGGTGTTCAGTTTGGGGGGGGGGACATTGACCCCTCCGTGCCCCCCCCCCCAAGACTCCGCCCATGGGTAACGATTCTTCCTATACCCTGCCAGTGATTTTTGCAACGGAGACCTTCCCCTCCTCCCCCCCCCCCCCCTCCCGCTGTTCCAAAGTGGATACTCCTCGCATGCAAGGTCGCGGCAATCCGCGGTGTTCAGTCGGGGACCTCACCTGCGGCTCAGACACGGAGCTCAGGTTTGCGAACTCCCACCGCAGCAGCGGAATGTTGCCCGTGGCGCTACACGTCACCATGTCGTCCTCCCCCTCGAACAGCAAGATGTTGCTCTTGCTCACGTGCACCTCTGGAGCGTCTGCAGCACCGCCGCCGTCGGAGAAACGCAGAGGACGTGGACTCATGACACGGCATGGCCAGCGCTGCTGCGCTCACACACTGAACTTTGAAGCTCCCGTACATTTGGTGACTGTTTCCGACTAGATTTAATCAATAAATCGACCGATGTCTATTTGTTACACGAAAAAGTCCCGTTTAGCCAGCTACCCAGACAGTTTGCAAAGGAGAGCCACGGTGCATCAGGAAAGAACAGGAACAACAACGTAAAGTTGATGCGTGCCGAGGAACAGGCTGCAATGGAACAGAACACGTCGCAGGCGCAGGCAGAAGTAGTGCTGAACATTTTCTTTTTGCAATGTGAACAATATAAAACAGGTATATTGCCTACAGTCGAGGTAAATTCACTGGGAGGCAACACCAATAATAATAATATATTTTAAAGAGGTTCCATATTTGTCCGTTAGTAATAATACATTGATGGATGGCTCCGCCCCTGCGACCAAAGCCCACGAAGACCGTATCGCGAAAGTCATTTTATTCCTCTGTTACACGGCATACATCTGATGAGAGGTGAAAAAAATGGTGAGCCTTGCCTGTGGTGGTGGGGGGTTCGTGCTGGCCACAGGTTTGTTCTCATGTCTCTCTTTAACAATGTTTTGCATTTATATGACTCCCTCGTTCATCTCGAATGACCTTCCCGCCAATAGCAGTGCACATTTAATTAGTGCCACTCCTGAACTTCTCAAACCAATTCATGTTATATTTCCTTTGAAACATTCAATATATTCTTGAAAGGAGACTTATATTCATTGCTGCCCTCCCCCCAACCCCATATTCAGAGATGCTCTCTATATTTTCACTTTGTGCAGAGAACAGTTTGCTCCTAATGTCAATCAAACACTTTCTTTTTTCACCCCAATTCCCGTCTTCACTCCAGCTCCATGGCCAAACATTTAATCAACACATGCCACTGCCTAACTTGTATAAAGCAGCATCCCCCATCTATAATCTCATCACACACGGCCTTTTATTGCCCATTTTTACATTTTCCGTATCCCTTGCATCATGAATTTATAAAATAACACCATCCCCTTCCCACTCCAAATTTTAATATACAGCTCATGATCTCATTCCTTCGCAGTTGTTTACATAGCACGCATTTATATCCATTTCTGAACGTGGCCACGTCTTGATAGGACACAAAGACAAAGATCCTCCTTATTGCCTTAACAGACTGGTAAGGCAAGTGCTGTTTGCGATCACCTATGAAGGCTGGCACAGCACAGGAGGGGGTGGGTGACCAGCACCATGCCCGGCCGCATTTGTCTCCCTAATGGCGATATTTACACACCGCATTAGAGGCTCATTTGAGGCTGAGTCGAACCAGAGGAGGCCCAGGACCGGTTCAAATAATCGTCACTGATGTTGGCCTGGAGTGGAAATCGAATTGGGGTCGCCGGGTTCGTCGCGCAGCGCGCTAACCACTACACTACCGCTCCCCGCGGTTTATATCAATTTCTGATGGTGGCCATGTCTTGCTACAGCACACACACACGCGCAGTTTTTTTTTGTGCTGTAAACACTGCATGTTGACCCTGCGAAAAATGTGCATCTGTAGCTTGGAAATGTCTCTTATACAGCACTGCACAATCTCGTAGAGAAAAAAAAAACAGTAGCTTATGCACATCACTCTCGTGAACCGCAAAGCTTTATTGTGCTGTTGTTGCATTGTATACGGCATGGAAGCTTCCATGATTTCTTAGTTCATTTAGCGGTGCGTTTTAAAGCCAAACCACAAAGCAACCATTGGGCTCCAATGTATTTCGTTGCACGTAGTTTGGAGTGGTATACTCTCGACTGCCTCTCAACAACAATTATATGACCACCACACACGCATTCTAATGATCATTTAATTCTTATATATACAGTTTAGATTTTCATGAATATTTAACTTAGTGCAGTGGGATCACCACAACTGTCAAGATACATTAATCCAACAATATGGATACAATATAAAACTTTGGTTTAACATGAATAATTTTATTCTGGTTTGGTAAAGTCCTTTTCAATCAACAAACAAATATAATTGAATTGATAAATGACAGCCATCTGTCTATCTGCTGCTGAATGAAGGCCTCTCCATGTTGTGTCAGTTATGGAGGTTGTTTGAGCATAACCAAACACGCTGGTCAGTTTGGTTTGGTGGGGGGGGGGCAGAGGCCCAGGACAAGTTACTTCATATATCACCGTTGTCAGCCTTGGCTGGGAATCAAACTTAGGTCACTGGGTTCATAGCTGGGTGTGCAAACCACTGCGACACTTTTCCACAAAAATAATTTGAGCAGGAACAAAAGAGCACAATCATCGTCAGTTTACTCAATTTTTTCGCATGCTGTGTCAAGGGTACAATAAGTGTCACCTTAGAGAGTCACTGCATCAATTCAGCTCTGTGTTTATTTCCGATTTAACTCCCTAATATTTTAACTCAAATAATTGATTGCAAGTTTTCCACTGTAAATAGTTGACATTGCATAAAAATGTTAAATCAGTGTTATTCAAGCGTATATACATATATAAGTCTAAGGCAAAAAAAATTGTGTCAGCGAACTTTTTCAAGTTAATTAAATATAATAACAGGTTTTTGTTAACCATCAGTTTAAATGATGAAGGCCAGTCAGCCAAAACATCAAGATCTTCCTTGCCTGTCAGTGACAGTTTAATTAATACGTTGTTTCACATACTTCCTCAACACACACATCAACACACAAAGCACATCTCTGTTCATACAATTTTAAATTAATGGCAGATGTAGGCAAAACAAAAGGAAATACAGTATTAAAAACAGGTATGGCAGTGTTGTAGATCCATAGATATACATCATTATTATTTCACATTATTTTTACCTCCCTGTAAACGAATACTATGGTCATGTTATAAATCTGCCTGCATTGCAGTAACAAATAAACTGCTGTGTGCGTGTGAGGTGTAGGCTGGCAACGTTTCTACGGAAAGGCATGGTTCAAAAGTCAACCAAACCTGACACTTACGTAAGCCCAATCGTATTACTGCATAGACGCGAGTACACGCATACACAAACTAAATATATACGAACGATTGTAGCATTACTATTGGGCGGTTGATTGCCTTCGTGGTTTTAAAATTGTATTGACTCATAGGCATGAAAGAAACAATAGTAAGAGGAATGTAACTCATTGTCAACAATGCTGCATTCAAGAGAATCACACAATTGATTAGGGTGATTGAGTGAGATGGATGACACATATATAAGCGCGACTTGCCCTGGGTCACAAATAAGCCATGCGCTTCTCTGCCCAACTGCATTATTTGCATTATTTTCTGCAGTGCAGAAATAAACGTTGCGCAAGATATTTTCATTTTACAGAATTGCACATTGTGAATGTAGTTTGAATTTGGGTTGAACAAGCATTCACAATGGCATGCGATTATTGAAAGTCCCCTGCACCTCCGATTCCCATGGTTGGCTACGTACAACACGAAAGAAGTTCAACATACCATACGTCTACAGTATATGCTCTTCCAGGTTTTGCCATTTAAAAAAAAAATATTTCCTTATTTTTTTTGTATACGCTTGTAATGGTGCCGACTATTCCTGTCCTCCGGTTACCCACGGAGCTATTATTTATGGGCCTGTCACAATCCGGCTCCACCCACACCCCCCCGTATCACACTGGGGTTGCGCTCACCACAGCCCGGGGCAGCCCAGCTTGAGAGAGGAATGACTCTGTCGGTCTCCGCTAATCTGCAGCTGGGTTGGCCCCCAAGAGTGCCCGGGTTTCTCTTCAACCAGAGCTGCAGCCACCAAATGCCACAAGAGCACACTAAGGGATTCCCGGACAAATTCCTGCGTGGATACAAAAAAAAAGGTCTGACATCGCAGCGATGCAGCAGTGGACGCATGCAGCACACGATTAGCGCTTAAGTAGTCAGTATCGGCCAGTTGGTATCGAGCAGCCCGTTCGATGATAGTCTCACCAGGTACACAGTTTTCAAAGTTTTATCGAAGCATCTGCTTCTGAAGTTGGAATAGATTCAACCAATTACTCTGTTGCAGTACGCCCAATTACACACTGGCATTGCTGCCAGACCACTGTCGCTCTGGAGCCACGGTGACTCGTAAACAAGAATACCTGTGCCTTCATATCATTATCTCACACAAAACAGCCTTGAATGACAGCTGCGATGGGTGAGCAGCAAATGAGCCACTTATGTGCCCTGCACGTCAGCGTCTCACGTTCCCAGCAGAGTTGCTCTCGGGAGATGTGCACGAGGCAACGCAGCGTTCACAGCAGCGGCAGTATTTTTTACTTTTGGGCCATAGCAGATCGTGAAAGATGTTCGATGCCAATGACGGGAGTTCTGTGAAGAGCACGCAATTGTCGCGTAGATGATACATGGATCTTAAACCAGCCCGTTTTATATTGACCAAAATCAAAGAATAGTCTTAGAACGTGTAGACTCCTTCATATGGCAGTACCTTGGTCACACTGACCACTCTTTAACACTATTGAAAAACATTATATTGTTAATCACAGCAAAGGCTATGAAACCAAGGCGTCGAGTGGATACATTTAAGTATTATTAATGGTTTGATGAATGTGATTTATTTTTTTACGTATTAAATTACTTTTGGTACTTACAGTTGGTTGAGCTGAAGCCCTTGGAACACCTTCCATGAGATGCGAGTCAATTTGTTGTTAGCCAGATTTCTGCGAGGACAACAACAAACACTAACGTCAATGTTCTACACTTGAACCTTATGGCGGTACCCCGGGGTACCATAGTACCCCGGCTCTCGCATAATGTCATAGATGTAGACATTTTTAGTCTGTTGATGGTCGACGATGCGGCAATCGACTCATCTCGACGAGCTGTCCACGATGCACCACCACGGTGCGTGCTGCGAGCGTTCAGGGTTTCAGCTCAATCGTCCTCGCTGTGTTTCGACATTGTGGAGTCGCACTGATTTCGGATTGATTGGTACCCCAGTCGCGGAGTTAAGTAACACCCCTGGGAAAAATAGTGTCCCAGAAATAAAATATTTAATTGCCTCGGCCATTTTGTATTATTTGGTACCTCTGGGTACCGCCATAAGGATCAGTTGATGAAAGTTCTCTCCGTGTTGCAACGCTTTCTTTTTTTCATGGCAGCTGAGAGCTGTAGAGGTATTTAAGAAAGTGTTCACCATGGTGTACTTCTGGCACAAAGCCTCCAAGGCGGAGAAGAAATATATAACTGCATTGGGCTGCATCGAAATATTTGTGTATGCACACACTACATTTTTATATTGAATCCAGCTGGTTGGATGGCACAGAATGAAAATGTATTGTCGAGATCTGTGTTTGTTCAAATATGTGATTGCATGCTCCAACAAGGTCAAATGTTCGACCCATCATAATTGCAGATAGACTTTCTACATACCAAATAGAGCATCTCTGTAAAGACATTTTCTGTAGCTCACCATAAAAAGCTTATAAACGCAGATGAATATATGGTCTCAGCTGCAAATGGTATGCATTCAGTGTGCAAGTATGGATATATGCCATACATACAAACTAACCATGCTAACAAATTATATTGATGCATTTTTTTTTATAATTCTCCATAACGATTGTGTTTAAACAATGCTGGCAATAATTTGTCGTTTATTAAAATCCAGATACATACAATTGAAATTAAAGTTGAGCAGAATCCTGTGGGATTTAAGGATAATTATTTAAGCGTATTTTTCTTACAAAAATGGGAATCTTCCTCTCTCTAGCTGTCACACACTTCAATGTCTGAAAAAAGAGCCACTTTAAACATCACCCTTTTACCGGCACACACGCTATATACGGGACCTTTGAAGGCATCTCAGACAGCTATTCATTTCAAGCTGATATTTCAACATTCACAAATGACGATGCTTCAAATGGCTCCAGATCTGTGCATACCATCCACTCATACATGGCAGCCAAGGAGATTTGATGTTGTTAAAATATGCATGCGCACATATCTCACTGTGTAACTGGTGGCCCATCAATTGTAAGGATGCTCCTATAGTGGCATAATTATATGACTCCCAACTGTGCATATTATAATGGACGTATTTAGGTGCCTATAATTACAAAACACACACGCACAAATGCATACAAACGTTTGGTGAAAAGGAATAAGGAAAGCAAGTAGACTTACATATATTTTAGACGATTGTTGTTTCGGAATGCATCTTGTGAAATACTCATGAGCCCGGTATTGGTTATGGTGCTGTAATAATAAAAAGGCAGCAATATATAAGCAATTACACAGGGAAAAGAAGTGACAAACACAACTGTCATTTTTCAAGATTATCGCGACCGTGTCTGTCGTCATTGTCAGCGTTGGTCACCGTCATTGTCGTCATCGTATGAATAATTGCGGTTTAATGATTAGTCTCCGTCAGCGGGGATGAGTGCATGCCAAGGACTTTAGCGTAAAGCATGGGTGGTGCGGTGAGAGCGAGTGACAGGCCCATTAGGTCAGGTAATGCAATCAGTGCGAGGCCCACACTCACAGGTTTTGCAAAACGGTGTATTGCTCAAAGTCACTTTGGTTGACGCTTGTTAATCTGGGTTGGTTCTTTATAATTCTGCAAAGGAGCGACAGCAAAATAACAACACATCAGCACGGTCATTAATGTGTTAGATGTAGACGGGGCTAAATTTCTCACTCGATATTTTCTGCAATGCTGCTAGGCCGGCTTAGAGTTACGGATTGTCAGCGTAAGGCACTACCACGAGAGTGCAAGGTACACCTATCCATGATAATTCAATATTATTGTACCCTGTAATCTTATAGAAAGGTTTATAAGAAAAAAAGATGCATGGACTCATAATAGTCGTAAGTTTGGCTTTTGTTCATGAAAAAGGTGAGATAAATGTGGCCTGCCAAAATAATTCCCAGAAGAGTTTTCAGGGTTTTTCCACCGGATGTAGATGACATAAATAGTAATTATAATAACAATTCCCTTTATTTACTCAGTAAAGGCCTCCTAAGTCTCAAGACAGTTTGCCAGTCAAATGACTCTTTTCGATTGTGAGTTTAGAGTTTGCTTTATTGTTGTCGTGAGAAGCAGAAATCAACTATAGATGAGCTGAGCTCGAAAAGAAACTGCTCTTCTTGAACGTTTGACATGGAATCGTTTTCCTCGTTTTTTTTCTTCTTCCCTTGGACACGTTTGCATTTAGATGCAGGAGCAAGAGGCGTCCCGCGTTGCGACAGGCGTCCACAGTATTGGTGAGAAAGTGTGCCCGCTGTGTTCATTGCACACCTGCAGCACGTTTATAATTGTTTGCCTAATTTCCAGGCAGGGGAGCAACGCCTCTTAAACAGCAGCACCGCTTGCTTTGACGCCTTTCGTTCCCCACTCTGGGTTTGGGTTTCCTTTCCCGTCCTCGATTTAACAACCATTCCTCCCTCCCCCTTGCTTATAAACACCCTGGAAATGCTTATTCAGCCACACAACTGTCTCTCGTGAAAATGAGTGTCCTGCTTTTTTTTTAACAATGCGGGTAATATTCGCTTGAGGAGACGAAGGTGGCCGGGCATGCTGCTGGCTACCCACTCCCTCGTGTGCCGTGCCGGCCTTCATAGGTGCTCGCTGACAGCACTTGCACCAACAGTCTGCTGAGGTTATACGGGGGATCTTTTAATATTGCAAATGGAGTAGTCAAAATGTTTTGAGAATGGGATATTGAAAATATGCACAGCACCAAAATTATTACGAATATCTTAATAAACTGTATTGTGTAAATATTTATTTTTAAAATGTTATTTGTGATGTTATGTTAACAGTATGTATTAGTATGTGGCTTGTGCACATGAAATTAGGTTGGTAGGACATTTCATGTATCATATTATCAAACCTATTTGAAGTTCATCGTTTAGTATATAAAGTGAGCCCTCTGGCCATTTAATGTATATATACAAAGGCAAAGACACAACCATTGCACTTATTCAGTACTAATACTGTAACAATCGGTACTCACAACGTAAATGAACATTAGACACCCTGCACAATTTGCACTTTTATTTCGTGGCATATGAGAATCTCCGTAAGGGTGGCCAATTATGTGCATTTGTCAGCGGTGCATTTAATTAAATGTATCTCATTTCCCCAAACGTACAGCAGAGCCCTTCAAATTGTTCCCACGCCATTGATGTCTCCAGGACTGTAATTGTACATGCTCAAACGCGGATAATTTCATGCCTGCACACTCTATGGCTAATGCTTGGAAAACCAAGCCAAAAATATATTTAGCACGGGGTAATGTGGGTATGAAAAGGTGATACTCCCTTTTTGCGCAATAATGAGTATTGCACTGTTGACCGTCCTTAAACTGGCATTGGTCATATGTGGTTACCACTAATTGGGCATGGAAAATTCGTTTTTTTTTCCTCCTGTGTTATGTTATTTAAACGAAACCGGGAGACAATTATCACGACCATTGTTCTAAAAAAAAAACATTACAATATCAGGTCCAACGAGAAATCGGCTTTTGAGGATAATATATCCGCGCGAGTGCCACCAGCACTTTCAAGTAAGCCACTCGCATGATGTCCCGCGTTCTGATTTCACGTGCGGCGGGTGGCATGAAATAAGCGTGAGGACACTGGTCTGGCAAGGCCATCAGGATCGGGGCTCACGGGACTAACAGGAGGTATGCACCGGAATGCTGTGAAAGCGGTCCATTATGCGTGGATTTACTGGCCTGATACACACGCCGGTAGCAAGCGTGACGACGCGCAGGTGTGCATGCGTACACATCTGCTCAGCACATTGACGGGGAGTTGTTTTTTTCTCTCTCCCTTTGCTATGTTATTATCTTGCTTACGACATGCCGCCACATTGCCATTGTGTGCACGTATCGTATTGCAAACTTTATGATTGCTGATGAAAATGCAATTATCTCCGTGTCAGTCTGAGATATTTGCGCGATGCGAATTCAAGGCTCCCTTGTTGACGGCACGCAAACAGGGTGATCAAATCTTAAGCCCAAACATTATGCAACTTTTGTTGAGTGGTGCTCCGTGTTGTTGTTTTTTCTTGCGATATCCTACACCGAGTCAAGCGCTGTTTATGCGCAAAATTTCCAAGCGTTGTGTTTTACGGAACAGCACTGCAATCGGCTGCAAGCCACTCGCGTGTGCAACATTTCTCAAAAGTTCCGCGCAACAACAGAAGCGATCTGGTGTTGCACTAATGAGAGCGAATGTGATTAAAGCTGGGCAAGACTCGTGCGTAGAACGTAAGAAACCCCAACTGTCCGCACTCATGCCGAACGTTTTTTTTAGCAACTGAGCATGCATTCCCGCATATATGACCTTTGCAGGCGAAGGGAATATGATCGGGAAAATGGCCTTAACCCTCCTTGCGGGTCACGCAGGAGGGTTGAAGGAGCCAGTTTCAGACGAGCGCAAAGGACCGCACGCCGTCTGTCTCGTCAGTCACGCGTGACGGACTTCATAATACCCGCACGCATAACACAACGACAAAATACAAAAAATAGAACCATACCCCGTATAGTCACAGCGGGCTGTTGGGGGCAAGTGCTGTTAGCAAATACCTCTTGTGGCCGGAATGGCTCACGAGGGGGTCGGGTGGCCAAGTACCACGTCCGGCCGCCCTTGTCTCCCCAGTGCTGTTGTTTACGCACCGCACCGGGTAACTATTGAAGACCGAGTCGCCGGGTTCGCAACGGACTGCGCTGACCCCAGCATTGTCGCTCCCCGCCACGGGTGACGGACTTAAATAAGTAAAGTAACGCACGGACATTACGAACTCGCGGCGCGCGCGCGCACGCACGCGCACGTGAACGAATTCCCTCGCGATCGTGCCACTTTGGATCTACTGTGTACAGCATTGCAAATTGCCCAACATAGCGACGTTATATTCAGTGCTGCGTTATATAAGGTTTCCGTATAAAAAGCTTCGCGGGTGTTAATTACATAACGAGCGTTGTCACCGTGCGTCCGTCATCAGCGAACCGGCGCACGCACGTGTGTGCGTGCGAATGTTGTGTGTGAGTATTGTGTGCCCTGTGCGGCTGGGAGGCGCAGCAATCAATTAGCACGCCTTTGAGAGGCAACAGAGCAGGTGCCGCGTGTTGTCATCGGGTATTTAGATGCGTTTAAATCCAGTCAGATGCGCGCGCCAGGGTGGCATTGCCTGCGCTGGAATGTGCTTAGGCAGCTGCCAATTAATTAGCATTTGCATATATATCAGCTGCGCGGGCGCACATTTATAAAAAGAGACAACAAAAAAACAGCCAATGCAATCGTGCCTCCGATTGAAATTGAAGGTGACAGCAGATTATAAGCAAGCGCTACATCTAAATTAAGGATGCTTTGAAGCTCCGTTTCGCGCGCGCGTACGAAGTGCGTGCCCGCGCGCGCGCACGTGTGTGTGTGTGATTGCCGTGGTGTGAATTCCATCCAGTCCAGACAGTCTGTACTAAAAAAACAGTCCGTGGCAAAGCCGCTAGACGCATACAGCTAAATGGAGCTTCCATGCGGCGTGCTAGGCGCTGGCGAGCAGCGTGCACTCACATCTCGAGCAGGTTGGCCCGATAGCTCACGGTGGTGGCGCTGGGGAATGCCGAGAAGCGATCCTTGCGGCTGCAGGCGAGGCGGCTGAGCGTGCAGGCGCACGCCTCGGGGCACGACCCAGGCGCTGCCCTGGGTGCTGCCACCAGAGCGCCGGCCGCGCTGCCCAGCGCCAGGGCGAGGATGAGCAGCGACTGGGGCCGGCGGCGCCGTCGCTTGGCCAGAGTCCCCGGCATCCCGCGTACGGCGCGACTCGGAACACTCCCGCGCGCACTGCAGCAGCAGCGGCCGGCAAGAGAGGGGGAGGGAGAGCGAGCGAGCGAGAGAGAAGGATAGCGGCGAGAGAGCAGATAGGGATGGAGCGAGGTAGAGCTATAGAGATAGCTGCAGGCACACGGGGCAGAGAAATCCCGTCGCTGCCGCTGTGTCTCGTGTTTCCACCTACTCCTCCTCCTCCTCCTCGTGATTCTCCTCCTCCTCCCTCCTCTACCCCCAACCTTCCCCCACCTCCAAGCTCCACTTCACTCCTCCGTGCCGACAGCGGTGTAGATTTGCAGTAACGGGACGAGCAAAAATGGAATGCGCGGGCGATTCTGAAAGCGACGCGAATCGTACGCGCGCGCACACACTCGCCTCGACCTCGGTGAAGCCGCTGCTCTTCTCGAGCCTCGTGCGTGAGCGAGGCGCTGAACGTGATGAGTCTTAATTCACTGCTCGCAGACCGTGACGCACATGCGCATCAGCAGCGGCGCTTCGCCTTTCTGCCGTCAGTCGCTCGAAATCAAATCACGTCACGGACGTTCTGACGGCGTTTAAGGTGTGCGCGTGCGTGCGTGCGTGCGATAACAGCACTTGCCCCAAGAGTCTGTTAAGGCTACAGATGGGATCTTTGTCTGTGCGCGTGTGGGTGTCTGGGTGCGCGCGTGGGTGCGCGTGCGCGTGTATGTCGCCCACCGCCCTCGTACGGACACTCACTCACCGGGGGTGGGGGGCGGGGGTGCAATTAATATGTGGAAACGAGGCGAGTGGTTGTGGAAGCCTCTGCAATACCAGCAGCAGCGAAACTCCTACGGTGGAGACTGCAGGACTATCCCGCGCTGAAAGTTGCAGGGCTGGCTCAAATGCAGCGAATCAAGGGGACAGTGGGGGGTGGGGGGAGGTCGTGGTAAAGCGAGCGGCTAAAAATCGCGTTATGCAGACAAATGGAAGCTGTGTGAAACCCCGAGAGGCGATATTGATCCCGTGCGCGCTCCCTCGCGGCACCTCTCTGCGAGGCCATCCGAGCTCTTGGGAAGGAAAAGACGCCGCCAATGATTTAATCGTTTGCCATTAATTGTCACCAGAGCCCCGACGCTGCTGCCTCCCGTCCAGCGCAGCTCCAAGGCTCCGTAGCAGTCGGCGCACGCGCGCGCGGGATTTTTCTTGCGCTCTTCGCCAGTGGGTTGGCGTGGCCGGGCCACCTTTAATTGGAGTGGGCAACCAACGAAACCCAGTGAAGAGCCCCAGCATTGGGCCAACGTCGGCATGTGGTCGGAACAGTTAGACCAACGTTGGGAACAACGTCACATTTACTGGGAAGTAACCGTTTTCGTATGATAAAACTCGCCTCTCACAGATATTTAACAACAATTCTTTAAAAACTCAGACATTTTCGACTCGGTGGATGCAATGAAATATGTATTAACTTCAACAATCATGAAGTTCCTCCGGGAAGACATATCTTGGTAATGCATTATCGCTAACGTAATAAATACAGACGATCGTTACTGAGTGACTGATGTAAATTGTAACGATGTTCTAGCAGGGCGAGAAATCCGACATTTTTCATGAATATAGATGGTAATATGCTTACAACTACAATAATCCTTATAACTAGAAAATCAACATTTCCGATTTGAATCCACAAAAATTATGCGAATATTTATTGGTTTCACTCATCAGGCAGGGGAAGCCTACATTTTAGTTCTACATTGCTCTACTTCTTGTGATAAACACCGACATATATGCCTGCCCATTCATTGTGTTTATTACGATTGTTTAAGCAGGAAAGCCTCGCAGTACGGGGCGATGTTGCTGCTGCGTGTAATCCCAATTGAGTAATTTGCAGGTACATTTGAGCATAGGGTTATTGGCCAAGACCAGTTACATTGTGTGTTTGTTGTTTTTAAGCTATGGAGGTGGGGGGGAACTTGGGATTCGGAGGAAACCCATGCAGAACAGGGGGCGAACAGACAAACCCACACGTAAAGGCACCCGAGTCAGGAATCAAACCCAGGCGCTTCTTGCTGTGAAACACAAGTGTTACTGTTACCTTCGCCTTGCTGCCAATAATCAGTCATCCTCATAATTTGCCTTCTGTGGAGTGTGGCGTTTAAGCCCCGAGTAGAATATACTGCCATAATTTTCCAGCTGGTGTAGAAATACAGTATGAAGCGGTGGCACATGGTAAAGTATAGTCAAACTACCCATATTCATAATTGGATTTACAAAGTGGATTGACGGAGTAGACATGTCAAACAAGAAACCTACAAAATCGCCCTACCAAAGATATGCCTGTTCCAAAAAGAAAGCCATGATTTGTAAACCCTGCATCAGCATGAATACTGGATGAGGATTCGCTCGCGATGACCAATACCACATTGTACGCATTATAAGACGCAATCTTCCCCCGTTGTATCTTAACGGCGGAGGTGCATCTTATAATCCGGTGTGTGTGCGACCAGATCGTTTGTATAACTTTACTGACAATGTTGGAGCCTCACTCTCGGGAGTGTCTTCTAATCGGGGGAATACGGTAACGGTGGGGCGAACGACTCTCAATGAGTTTCTCCTGCGCCAGACCATCACCTTCATATGCTGCCCCTCCACCTTTCCCAATCCACTATTGTGCAACTGCATACATAACATAAATTAGTGAACAATACATTAGTTACCGCACTAACTTACTTTGCTCTGGGCGGTTTTGTCAACATTGCAGGGCTGAGTGATTTGATTGCCATGAATGTTTGATCGTGTTTGCTACAGTAATGGCTCTATTTTTAATTGTATTTGCTTTTGGTGCTGCTTTTCCATGCATCCACAGACGTGGATTCATGCTTGATTGTAATGCCGGTGTAATCATTGAGGATTCGGTTTCGCGTCGTTTATTACAATAATATTTTACATTTTAATTGATTGAGTCTGGTGTTGTTTAACACGACCATCGTCACAATATATCAAACAGCAAGCAACTCCAACGGTTGAAGGGGTAGCAGATTATGAAACAATGTAATTAACTGCTTTAACAAATATTTCGTAATACTGTAATAAAGTCACACTGAGGGCCCATCTAGAACCATAATAAGTGACGCCTCATGATCATCGTTTCAATTTTATATCTTGTCATTAAGCATCCTCATCATCATTATCAACATTATCCGTGACTCATTCACTGCGAGATGAAGGCATCCACAAGCCATCGCATCCCTCCCGGTCTCAATACAACAACCCATCGATAGTGCCTTCACGCAACTTGATATCGTTACTCCATCTCCACGCTGGGCCTGTTTCCTTCTTTGGCTGCCAGTCAGTCATTAGTCTTGACCGTGGGCAATGTGTGGCGTGCCCAAGCACCCTTAACATAACTGAGGACATATCAAGAAGCAGGAACGGATTTCAGGGACGAGAATTACCATACCGACTCACTAAATGTTTACACAAATGAATGACCTCGATCGTGGAGTGACGACTCAATGATGTGTATATCTAAGAATGGTGAAAAACTGATTTGAAGAAGTATATACACACACGTCTCTCATCAGATGCACACACATTGTTCGTAAAGATCACTGGGAACAGAACAAACACATCCAGCTGTTCATCAACCACGTGAGCAAGGTGGATTTAGGAACGGGTACTCTGCCATGCACACTTTCAATCTGATTCTGAAGGAGACCAATGAATATCAAATACAATAATGATTTGCTTTGTAAAGGACAAAGCGGCATTTTATTAAGTGGTAAGCGATGCAATCATCCAGGCTTTAACAAAAACAAAGCCACAACTGAAAAAATATTTAGAAATTCGAAACATTGTTGACAAGAGTTTAAAAGCTACACTGAGATTGATATGAATGAATATTGTATTTTATTCATCATCATCGTCATCACAATATGTTGTCTGTAATGATCTTGTCATCATAATTATCATTGTAATGATATGTTTTGGATTAATCATAACCTAATAATTAAGCACAATGATGGTACATTTTTTAATAATGATTATCTTGTAATTCACCACCACCATAATTTCACCTCCAATTATCACGGTTGGCTACGTACGGTGCAAAATAAATTAAACATATATACACCATTGCCAATCTTTTTATTCTAGTCATCACTCGGCTTCAGTATTAAGTGGCCCTACAGGTAGTATCCATGCGGATAATTGTATGACTTCATGCTTCACTTATCCAGTGCTCATCAGCTGAGCCATATGCTTGTTCCCACTCCGAACATATTCAGTAAGCATGTGTTTTTTTTTTAATCTGTATGCGGTTTCCTCTTATTCTTGAATTTAAAGTGTCTTAATCACTGCCATAGCAATACCTATGTTCAGGATAGCATGCTATTGTAATATACTCGACAGCTATGAATACAAATATTTGAACGATAAATTGTAGATTTTGGGATCCCTATGATTGGCGGCAAACATTTTTTTATAACATAGATTTTAATAATATTATATAAGGTCCGTAGAGCTAAACATTGGTATGAACATAATATAACTAAAAGTATTCGAAAATCAACATTTAGTAATTTTCCTTCAAACATAAAAACTACTATTTTTGAGAGCAAACATTTTTAAAAAAATTAACACAGGTTTTCACAGCCAATGTTAGAATCACAATTGATTTTTGGGTTTGGCCAGTAACGATCTGGCCACACGTATGTCATTAAGAACTCCTCCATCCGACACAGCCAAACACATAAAATTGTCACG